ATCAAACAGTCACTGTCTTCTCTAGTCAGGCAAGTCTGCAAAATGACCCTTGCATATGCATATACATATATATGTATGTATATACACACACACACCCATAGTCATTCCCCTCCTTTGCTCATTCTTGTATCCTTGTATCCTTCTCTCGTATACGTACTACTCATTTGTCAAGTTTTATGTGTAACATCCTTAATGAAGCGTCTTTAAATGACAACATATCAATTAATCTACTTATTTCTCAGTTTGGCTCCCTTCAACGCAGTTTTAAGCTATTTTTGAAATGGTACCAATTTTGCACTACTACAAAGGAAGCTCTCTTAATGGATATTCAGCTAGCCATTCTCCATTCCCTGCATATGACATACTTACACCCCTAGTATTAAGGCAAGGCTAATAGACTTATTTCTGTCCATGTCTGTTTTTACCTTTTGAGCGTTAAGCTTATCAGAAGTCAGTTGTGATCCTGGGCTCCACCTCCAGAAAATCTGGTGCAATTAGTCTGGTGTGACTAGAACATCAGTGATTTAGAGGAGAAAGATAATCAAACATGTTTTTTTTAAAAAAAAGAAAAAGTTGTATTTATGAGCCTGTATATTCCAGTCATACTTTTTGTTATAATCATATAGTTTAATTAACTCTTAACTTAGATTGAAGAAATATAAATATGGAAAGGTAGTTTCTATGAAAACTAAATTACTTGCTTTATAATTACTCAAAACTTATAGTTGAATTAAGTAACTGAGATACTGAGAGGAAGTCTTAAAGGACTCTGCTTCAGATTGTACAAATGTCTTTACTTATCATGCCATTTTAAAGAAACTGGAGACCATAGCTTTTGCAGTGAAGGAGCAGTTTGTGGTTTATTCAAGACAAGGGGCACATTAATACCACTCAGCAGAACCCTAGCCAAAGAAAAGGTCTTCGTCCTACATGGAAAGATGTATATAATTTAATTTAAAATGAAGTGTATTTATGACTCTCTCTTTTGATCAAATGTTAAGGTTTACTTACTGACCAGTTACTAGTTTTCTGTGTACTCTGTGCCTGTGTATATGTGTGTGTGTTCTGTTATTTAGTTAATATAATCATAAGCTGATAACTGTAAGTGTCCTTAGAGAAAACAAACCCTGGGAAGTGATGTGACTTGCTGAATTACATAGCTAATGAAATGGTGGGTCTTTTACTCAAATAAAGGGAATCTGTGTCAGCGCAATGTTCTTTCCACAAAGATTTAATAGATTTTGGTGGTGCTTTGTGTTGCTGCTGATGAGCTGTGGTCTGCTTCGAATAGATGGAACAAGTGAAGAAATTTATATGAAACTAGTATCAGCCCACATATTTTGGACATTCCTCACCTTTTTAAAGCATTGGCATTAAGTAACTTTGGAGAAAAAGAACTTCTTAGTATGTGGTCTATTTTAGAACTTTAAGGAATAAAGAAGCAACTGTTGTATACTCTTCATGTGGCCATTCTTTAAGCATCTATTGTTAACAGTGCTGTGACCCTGAAAGAGGAATCAATAAAGTAATATGTATTGAGTGCCTCCAATGTTCAGTACATTACTTAGCCACTGGGGATACAACTGTGAATAAAACAGGCACAATTAAATAAAACAAAGTCTGTGCCTTCCTGAGATTTTTATTCTAACAGTGAGAGTATTTAACTACAGGTTGTAAGGCTATAAAAAGTGAAAAGTTTGGTGCTATTAGAATATAGAGAACCAGACCTAGTCTGAGGGAATAGTGGAGGGGGGAATGAAGTTTGCCATCTGGGACTGACATTTTGGATGAACTCTAAAGTATAAGTGGGAATTATCGAGTGAATGGGGGGGAAAGGGAAGTTTATGGAGAGGGCAGAGGTGAGCAAACTTGGCAGAGGGAATAGTTTGTTTAGAGGCAGATCTGAGTTTGAGAAACAGAAAGATAGCCTATGGGTCTGCAGAACAGAGAGGAAGGAAGAGGGTGAAATAGATGATGAGGAGGAAATAAGGGAGGGCACAGGTATGTAAGATCTTAGAGGATGTATTCATGCCTAGCCCTAAGAGTAATGTGGAGTTACTGAAGGGTTATTAAAACTGTCACTTTTGGCTACCATTTTGTACATAGCATATTTTTTTTTAAAGGTAACTCTGTTTTAATGGAAAATAAAATGGAGGAGAGGTGACAGTGGATGTGAGAGACCTAGAAGTAAGATAGTGGAATTAGAAATAGAGATAAGGGCATGCAAAATTTATGTTCAGAGAGGTACACTTTATAGTTTGCTTTGCTTTGCTTTTGTGCTGCAATTAAAATTTCATTGCTTGTTTGCATTCATTGTTAACCTTATTCTTTCTGCAATCATTCTATCAAGATATATAAGCTTCAGGGGCCTACTATAAATTTTATTTTTTTCAGGTTAAGGTTGATCGTATCATTTATTCTCTTGGTCATTAGGAAATATATTCTCTTATCTTTATATTCAAGAAATGACAGCTTATGAGTAATAATAATAAAAAGAAAGTGTCAATAATAGGATCCATTGTGTAATAACCCAGGTGTTTTTACTAGAATAGGAATTATGTGGGAGAGTATTTTAATCAAAGTGGAAAAGTGCTTTGACTGTGGCATATTTTAAGAATAATTGGTATTAAGAACTCTAGTAGAAAGCTGTGTATTGGAGGCAATAGAAGGAAATACGGCTATTACATAATTGAATGATTTTTATTCATACTCACATTTCATTTATTATGAATTTATCACATGCCATAATTTTGAGAAAGTACTGTCATCAAAATATTTCTAATTTTGTTAAGACAGATATTATTAGAAATTGTTAGTATATATTCTTCTAATTTATAAATGGGAAGCAATGTGCTATTGTTCTTTCTAATCTGGACAAAATCCTTTGCGTTGAGATTCATGTTAGGTTTCCATGTAGGCAGTAGAAATGAGTCAAGCAGAGGGAAAATAATGACATTGGGTAGAGATATAAAATACTATTTTTCCTATTTTCCCCACCCTCAGCATATTTCTATATTAACAATAGAAATCTATATTTAAAGTTTAAAGTAATTTTAAACTTTGAAATTATTTTTGCATTGCTTGATGATCTCACTTATTTTAAATATCATTATATCCTCTATAAAAAATCGAGATGGATTTAAAATGCCTTCCCAAATTGGTAAATTTTATTTTGTTTGAAAATTTCAGTAAATAGCATTATACCGTGAAACAAAACAGATATAATTTGAGAGATTATGTTTTATGTTTTCTTATAAATTTGTTAGACTGAACTTTATGGATTGAATGAGCTTTATGGATTGAATAACCTGTACTAAGTAAACTCTATTTTTATAAAATTTTGAAGTGTGGATGATTTTTGAGTAAATTTTCATGTAAAGATTTTTTGAAAGGTGCTTATACAGATTGTGAATTAAAAAAAAATAAGATCGAGCTAGGTTTTTATTTTAGATTTTACGTTGAAGCTCAGTATTGTTACCAAGTTTAGTTATATGTTTATATGCATGGCTCTTATATTCTAGATAATGTTAACCCTTCCTCAGATCCCTGAGCTCAGGGATACCTTTTTTGTGTTAATTTGTATTTGTGTTCATATACTTATAGTTTACTTTCTTTTCTTGTATAGGACAAACCATGGTTGTGCCTTTAAAAAAAAAATTAGTGTACGATTGTTAATAACTTAACATTTTTATTTGAAAACAGCATCTGTTATTTCCTCAGTGCCTTACTACTCTTTATAGTTTTCTCTTAGAAAGTGACAGTAATCAAGTCAACTTCTTCACTCTCTTTATTATACATGTGTGGGTACATGTACATAATGAATTATTTGTACTTTTTTGATTCCTTCATTTTCCAGCATCTTCATGAATGGACTTTGTCTTCTGCTACTTGGCATATTTCAAAAAGTATGAGTTAATTTTAGTGCTATTTTAAGAAAAACAGCATTGAAAAAATGTTTATTTAAAATTATCACTCAGTCTAAGGAACAATGTAAATTATTTTTATGTTATCTGTTTTATTTATTATCTGTTTCGCTGGTGTCCTGAAATAGCAATGTTTCTCGAAGTCCATTACTTTTGAGATAGAGTACTAGATGACTTCGTAAAATTAGTAATCACCTTTTCCTGGGTATTCTGTAGGCTTTTTTTTAAAAAAAATTATGTGTGATAGGGCCGGCCCGGTGGCGCACTGGAGAGTGTGCCGCTTAGGAGTGCGGCGGCGCTCCCGCCGAGGGTTTGGATCCCATGTGGAGACTGGTTACCGCTCACTGACTGAGCACGGTGCGGGTGCAACACCGAGGGTTGCGATCTCGTTGCCGGTCCCCGGTATGGGCGCGACACCGAGGGTTGCGATCCCGTTACCGGTCAGTAAAAAAGACAAAAATGGGGGAAAAAAAAAAAAAAGTATGTGTGATATTTGACATCATTTTTAAAACCATTTCTGTGTGATTAGTTTTTTCTAATGGTCAAGTTTTTAAGTGCTGTTATATGCATACAGAAATCAGTCAGGCTCATACCATAGGTATTTGGTTCAGAACTTGAGTTATATAACTAAAATCAAGAATTTGGAGAATTCAGAAAGGGTTCAATAAGAAAACCAAGAAATGTCTGAAACATTCTTGAAAGCAAGCAAAAACATTCTGAATGCCTATGTATTCTCATGTCTGGGTTGAGAAATTGCGTGATATACTTGTCAGACTCATTTCAGATTTAACTGGGAAAAATTAATTTCTTTTCCTATTATTTTAAGCATTTAGATAGTACATTTAAGCTTTGGCACATAAAGTAATTCAAATAATATTATTAGACGACTTAATAAAGCAGATTTGATATACTTTGAATATTGTGAAATGGGGTGCTAAGAGGTAATAATGAACAAAAATCTCAGTATAAATTTGCAGTCTTTGTGATAATCATGTTGTATGTCAGTAGTCATTAAAATGAATTTTATTTTTGATAAAGCATTTATATGATGCTTTTATGTAATGTGTTTTCTGTAAGGTCAAAAGAAATAGACTGGCAACCTTATTTTACTACACGCATCGTAGATGATTTTGGCACACACTTACGAGTATTCAGAAAGGCTCAGCAGAGAGTAACAGAGAAAGATGATCAAGTAAAAGGTAATGTCTTTATTCCATCTAAAAATTAGAATTTAAAAATCTGTTTTCATTTATAACTTCGTATATCTTGAATTGTTCCTTTCTTTGTCCAGGTACAGCAGAAGATCTTGTTGATACCTTCTTTGAAGTTGAAGTTGAAATGGAGAAGGAAGTTTGCCGTGATCTAGTGTGCACTTCTCCCAAAGATGAAGAAGGTTTTCTTTTCAGTATAACTCTTTTGAGTATAGGAACTAGTGAGAGACAAGTTTGCAGAACCAGTGAACTAATCTAACGGTGAAATTATTTTTACGTAGGACCGACTGCATAGAAAAGACACTATTCATTTTATTTTATTTTTTAACTCTTAAAAGTAGTTTTCAGATTCTTTTTTCTTTTTTAAAGGTCATCTTTAAAAATTAACCTGTCTTTTAAAATACAAGCACAAACATTTTATAATTGAAAATTTAAGTTTTGAACTATAGTAATTTGTCTTCCCCTTGAATTTATTGTTTCTACTTCAAGAGTATACCTGTTACCCTAAAATATTTTCTAAGGAAATGATTATAATGATTTCAAATAAAATTTATAGACTTGAATGGACTTGTCTTTGTGGAATGTTAGTACAGATAAGTTTTAGCTGAGGATCTTATCTTTTCCCAGTTTTACAACTATTAAGTCTTTTGCTAATTGGCACTTTTTTAATTAACAGGATCATCTATATAATTATATTCCTGGAAAGTGTCAGAATAGGAACAAGTACAGAAAAGCATTTCTAGTTGTGTAAATTGTTTTCTCAGATTTTGAAAATATACTAAACGTTTTTATTACTTTCCTTTGCCATTTTTCTTTCTTCTTCTTCTGTTTTTACATTTATTGTACAATTCAGTTTTTAATTGTCAGTTCATTAGCATTGATATGAAATAACTAAATGTAAGGAATAGATGTAATGAGGTGTAGTGCTTTTACATAAATTGAGCTCTCTTAAATCAGTAGAATAGAAGAGCATACTTTCTCCTTTGTTATTACCTGCTGAAAAAGTGGAGGATTTTTTCCTGAAAGAATTATAGGTATATTTTTAAATGGTCTATAATTTTTAAGTATGCAAAGGTTAGTGTGTCGTAGAAGTGCAAAATATTTGGTGCATCTAAAACTGTTTTTAGCAAAAACACTTTTGTGGTTGAAGTTTCTAATGTGATTTAAAAAACTAGTTAAAACTGAGAAGAATTTTAAAAAAATACTAGCTTGATTAATGAGTAGTTACTATTTGGAGAACAATGTAGGAATGAATTTATAATGAATACTGATGTGTACTAATTACTAAAATAATAAGCTGGTATAAGCAGGAAAATGCTTTTTCCTACCTTTTTATGTGTCTTATCAAAAGTAGATGGAGACTATATATTTTCTAATGTTGTTATATCTACTTTTTCTGTTTTTAGGGTTCCTAAGGGATTTGTGTGAAGTCTTATTATATTTATTGCTACCTCCTGGAGATTTCCAGAACAAGATCATGCGATACTTTGTCAGGGTAAGCTTAATCTCATACCAAATAATGGCTGTAAAGAAACTTAAAGCAGTAGTTCTCAAAATTTTTGGTCTCAAGATCCTGTTATACTCTTAAAAATTATTGAAGATCCTAAAGAGCTTTAGTTGATGTGGGTTTTCTCTATAATATTTATGTATTATATATTAAAACAAAAATATTTTTAAAGCACGAGAATACACGGGCATACATTTCATTAGTTGATAGATTCATGATGCCATCATACCATTATGTACCTCTTGAATGTGTCTCTCTATGTACGTGAAAGAATGGAAGTGAAAGGTAAATAATGTCTTAGTTTTATTATGAAAATGGTTTTGATGCAGACCACCTGAAAAAGCCTTGGGATCTTCCCACCATTCCCCAGGGTCCCTGACCAATTCTTTGAGAACTGCCTGACTTAGAGTTAGATGCTCAGATATTTAGTTATAACAAAGGTATGTTTTAAAGTTTTTTTACTACCTAAATTAGGATAAAATAAAAGTAACATTTCTGGACATAAACTGGGCTACTAAGATTGTCCTTTTCGTAATTAGAAAACGAATAAGTCATATGAGAGCAGCAGTCTTGGACTCTTTATTCCCTGAGTGTGAACCTTTGGAGTAAAGTTGTACGTGCTAATGTAAAGGAATAACATTTGGCTTTGGTTGCTGATTATGGTGCTGTCTACATATGATCTTATCTCGGTTAAATGGGTAAAATGAAAGTCTATCCTCCTTCAAGACAGATGCCAATTCCTGAGGTGTGCTTTTATGCTTGTATGTTATCGTATAAGTAATACCAAATGGTTTCCTAACCTCTACCTACCGTGAGTTCAGTGTACTTCTCAGGTATGTTAGTGGTATTGTGTGAAATGGGTAGAAAGTGCTTAGTTTTGATGGGAAGAGTCTGATAGATTAACTATTTTTTGTTAAGGCCAATTGCTTGGGCTACTCTTTATCCAGGGTGGTAAATGCCTGGCATGCCTATCACTAGATTCACATCTACCATTGAAGGAAGATACTACTAATCACTTACAGTACTCGTTCATGCTGAGTGTCCATTTGGCATCCGAATCTTTCTTCGTTGTGTTTCAAACAGCTACTGTTAACATGGTATCTCTAGCAGCATTTCACATGGCTGCCCATTGCTTCCCTTCTTGAAACTCTGTCTTTTCTTTGTTTCCATGTCACTACTTTCTTTTGATTTTTCTCCTCCTGTGGTCTCCTTTTTAGTCACCTTGATACTCCTTAACTCCTCTTCTGCAGTTCTAGGTCTCCTTAAAATATTCATGTTATTTAATCCTAGGCCCTCCTCTTGCTCATTCATTCCTGTGGTTTTAAATATTCTCCACATGCTAATGAGTTCTAAATCTATATCTTTAGTCCAGACTTTCCTTCTGAACCACAGGCTACTTTGACCAGCTGTCCATTTGAAATCACCACTTGAGTGACCGGACAGGCCTTTTCAAATGTCCAAAATGGAAATCCTGTTCTTGATCATCCAGCAAATGTTTCAAATCTGAGTCTTTCCAGATACTTTCAGAGTCCTGTGTGATGCGGCTTTATCTCTCTAACCTTCATGCCATGCAGTGTCAGAAAAAAACCATAGCTGGACAGTACTTAAAGTGGTAAAAACAGACTTTATTCAGTTATTATTGCAACAGGGAAAAAGAGTGCTCAGTGTAGTACTGGACTCAATTCCAAATACAATAAGAACAAGAGGGGATTTATAGCCAAGGAGCAGGGGTGGGGATCAGTGGATGGAAAATTACTAAGAGAAAACATAAGGGGTAAGGGGGGATTCTGGTTAAAGAGATTTAATGGGATTCTTGCTGAAGGCAGGCCAGTATTATCAGACATCAAGTGCAGGGGATGAGGAATTTGATGATTTTACAGAGAGTGGGGGAGTTCTAGGTAATCCTAGTTGACAGGATTCTTGCTAAAACTGAGTGATACAAAGATAAACAAATATGGAAGCCCAAAGGTCAAGGCCTAATTGGGAAGAGGGTTCAGAGGAGCTTGACTAAAGTTTGGTCAAGAGTAGTATCTTTGTCATCAGTCATCATACTCCAGCCACACTGACTTTCTTCCCCAAAAGTACCAAAGCCCCACCTCCCCCGCCTACCATAGGGCTGTCTCATCTGCTTTTTTCCTCTGCTCAGAATGATTCTGCCTATCCTCTTGGCTAAGTTGTATTCTTTCCTCCTATCTCACTTAATGTCCCTTCCTAAGAGATGCCTCCCTAACCACCCAATCTGAAGCTCCCTCATAATTCCCTTTTACCCTAGGTAGTACTGTTTTTTTTTTTTTTTTTTTCATAGAATTTACCATATTTTAAAATGATACATTTGGTTGTTGTGTTTACTTACTTGATGCTTCTTTCTCCCAAATGAATTGTAGGTCCCATGAGGACAGGGACTATACATGTATTTATCATCCTTATATACTTATTGGTTAACACAATACCTGGCATATGGTAGGTATTCAATCAGAGAATCAGTTTTAATGCAAGAGGACACCCATTTGCCCTCTTGCTGGCTGTGGTGCAGTGCACATGTTGTTGCAGCTCCTTGAGGATTAAGCCGACTCCTAAGAGCCGTGAGTGAAGATCTGCCTTGTTACTTGAGGTTGTTGTTTAAGTAGGATTCTATGAGCAAATATGTTTTGCTGTAGATTTCTCTTTTAGGCCAGTATTTCATTTCTTTTTGATTAATCTAATTGATGAGGATAATTGTAGAGCACAGCATTCAGCAAATCAGTTCTTTTTCCCTTCTAACTTGGTAGAAGTTCTTTATCAGTTTTCTTTAATCACTAATTAAATCCACATTTTCCCAAAAGACATTTTTGTTTAGATTAAATAACAGATGAAAGAATTCTTTCCTTTGTATGGATACTTTATATAGATTTTACAAATCACTGTATTTGATGTAATTGCTGTTTAATTGTCTCTACTTTCTTTCCATTAATATGTTTTATTCATTTAAAGATTCATGACTTTAATGACTGTTGGGAAAATACAATAATTTAATCAAGCCCCCTCGCCCTGTGTCAGGTTGGGGGTGGTGTAGCATTCTTTGTGGGCAGGTTGTGTGTGGGTGAAGTTAGTGTCCCGGTGCAGTACCGCCACCTTGGCTGGCATGGACTGCCCCAGGCAGCCGCTCCGCTGGCCATGCTTTTCAACCTATGGCTTCCAAGGACCTGTTTGCCAGTTACCTAGCTCGTAGACCTGTGTGTGAGGGGTCTGGGGATCCAGCCTGCTGTGTGAAGGGTTTGTGACCCAGTCTGGACAACGGGCTTGAGGGGTCTGTGAGCTCCAGACGGGCCCTACCTTGGCAATTGGCCCAGTCAGTGCCGGATTATGGGCAAGTAAAAGAGCGCTACAATTGGCGACGTAGGCAGGATTCTGACATTAGCAGTAACTTTACAATGACTGTATCTTTTAGGCCCCTAAATCGACAGCTGGTGCTGTCTTCTAGACATGGGGGTCTTAAAGTAGGAATTACATGGAAATGGCTGCTTACTTTGGAATATTTAGAGTTCTCACTAGGACCTGTATAGGAATTGTTGAGGCATTTGATTTGCTCTTGACTAGCCAAACTCTTTTATGAGGCAAATTAGGAGGTCAAAGTAGTTTTTAAAGAGAGATTGACTAATTGTCTTAACTAATAAGAAACACAAAATTTACTCGGAGTTCTTCCCCATGTGTTTTTTTATCATTTTGAAGAAAAAGTTCAGCAAAACATTTTTTTGTATGTGTGAATTTTCTCCTTACAAAGTACATTTAGAAATTTTGTGTCCAGAAACATAATTTAAAGGAATTACATAAACAAATGTAATTTTTAAAAATTTAGGGACTAAAGCTAACCTTGAAAGCAGCTATTTCTTATAATTTGGTACTATAAAGTGTCTCAAAAGACATTTCAGAAAATTACTGGCACCTTCATTAATGCCTTTTGGAAATCTTAATTCGTCATGAAGTAGTAGTTGTCAGAGACTCTGCACAGCTTACAAAAGTAGAACTATATAAAACATTTCTCTGAAGGAAAATAAAGATCATTTTCTATGAATTTTTACCAGAAAATGGCTCAGATAAATTAGAGATCTGAGAAGGAATAAATAAATTGGTCTTTTACTTAGAAAAGTAAAACATCCTGTTAATCTTGTGTTTTAGCTTCTCCAGTATTCTTAAGAAATGTTTCATAAATTTAGGTATCATAAACATTAAGGAATAAAGATTAATGTCAGGTGAAAACATTGTATTAGTAGAGTCAGCATTAACATTTTTAGTTTTTCCATTCATGTGTCAGATGCCTACCTTATTTAAAACAATGACCTTGAGAAAAACAGGAAGAGGTAAATATTTTTGGAGACAGATAAATCAGTAGATCAATTGACCAATCCCACTCATATACAGAGGGGTCCTAATTAGTTGTAGTCTACTAGAGAAATATATGACATAAAATTATATAGACAACAATAAATGATAAATGCTGTAAAAATAGGGCATGTGTTTATTTTAAGCATGAATGTGAAAAAATATTAAGCTGGGATGATCAGGGTTTATTTAATAGGAAAATTGACTCTGTAGTCAGTCCTTAAAGGAAGTGCAGAATTTTAATAGGAGCATAAACAACTGCAAAGAATGGGAATGTGTATTCTAGAGAATGGTGAGTAGATTTCATTCACATACTTTTTATTTTTAATATTTTTTATTAGGAAAATAAACAGAGACATACAGAGAATACAATAAAAATTTAGGTACCAACCACCTGGATTTAACCGGTGTTGGTATTTTATATAGTTGCTGTTTCCTCCCTTGAAGTAACCACGATTGTAAAATTTATGTTTATCCTTTCCTTTTGTTCTCTGTTTTTGTACTTTTAATATAGACGTATGAATCCATAAACACCTTTAGTCTTATGTTTTACCTTTTAAAAATTGACATAAATACTAGGGGACTGGAGGTATTCTTGTTTGATTTACTCAGATCTTGTCATTATGGAGATGAATCCATGTTGATATAGGTAGCTTTTTCTCATTTATTTTAAGTGAGGTGAAGTAGCTCTGGTTATCAAGTTTTACTTTAATATGTATCATGCCTTTCTTAAATAACACCATTGTGTTAGGAAATTTACATTATGCTACTTATATGAGAAGTATATTAGACTAAATTTGTGTTTGTTTTCAAAATTTTTTTTTCAGGAAATCCTTGCACGAGGAATTCTTCTTCCTTTAATAAATCAACTCAGTGATCCTGATTATATTAATCAATATGTCCTATGGCTGGTAAGTAGCTTATAGAGTCACAACTGTATTTTTGAAAATTTTTTAAATGTAAAAATAGAGGGTCTGGCCCAGTAGCACACTGTTACAGTGCGCCGCTTGGGAGTGCGGCGGTGCTCCCACTGAGGGTTCGGATCCCACATACAGACCGGCGGCTCACTGGCTGAGCGAGGTGCGGGCGCAGCACCGAGGGTTGAGATCCCGTTGCCGGTCCCGGTCCGGTACGGGCGCGACACTGAGGGTTGCAATCCGTTGCCGGTCACGAAAAAAGACAAAAAGGAAAAAAAAAAAAAAAAAAGAGTGTGTAGATCAGAGTGATTAAGCAATAATTTATTAAAGAAACTAAATAAAATTCTTTCCAAAGTAATCCTGCATTTCCAATATTTCTGTTTGCTTGTATATTGACTGTTCTGGCCAAACTCTCTTTAAGCAGTTTGTTGATTATCGTCCTTACAATTATGGTGCTGCTACTGTTTACTTAAAAATAGTAATATTTCGCCACATGTGTGTGTATAGGTGAATATTTTTAATACCTACTATTTGGTTTTAAATACCCCTTGGGATTTGAACTACTTAAATAGCATGTACTTCACATTTTATACTATATAATGAGATAAAATATGGAGGATAGAACTCTAGAATGAGAATAAGAATCTCTGTGTTCTAGGTCTGTTTACGTAAGTTGGCTTAGTGTGTCCTAGGTTTTTCCTCTGTCAAACATATCAAAGAGTTAGTGGTAACTAAGTTTACTAGTTGTAGCTTTTTTACCTTTTCTAATTATATATGTATTTCCTCAGTCACATTTCATGGTCCCGAAAGAGATATAAATAGGCTCTCTGCTAGGAATACTTTGGTGTATACTTCTGGGCTTTTGATTTATTTTCTTAAATCTGGAATTTCTTCTCTACATCTGTCTTCCATTAACTCAGTGTAGCTTTCCTAGGAAAGAATTACTTGATCGTTCTTTGATTATTCTTAGGCATTATCACACTTGCCATTGTTTTGTTGTTGTTGTTGTTGTTACAATGTTTGTCCCTCCCACCAGACTGGGTTACCTGCAGGCAAAAATTATCTCATTACTTTTGTATTCCCAGAGCCTTTCCTGGAGGTCATTGAACTTGATTCTTCTTTTCCATTGTCAACTTTTTTAGAGTCCCACTAGGGTCTACCAAAAGTTTTAAAAATATGAATATCTGCACAATTAAAAATGTAAAAAAAAATGCATATCCTTTGATTAGGAATTCCACATCTAAGAAGTCATTATAAGTGATAATGAGCAAGTTTGCAACAATCTATATTTAAGGCCATTCATGGCAACATTGCTTATATTAGTAAAAACTTGAAAGCTACTTAAATGCCCAAAATAGAGGATTAATTTAATAAATTATGGCATATTGATAGACTTGAATATAATGCAGCCATTGAAAATGATGGTAGTATATCTTTATGAACATGAAAAGATGTTCATGATATAAGTGAAAAGATAACTAAAAATGGTTTATATGCAAAGATATATAATCCTATTCTTCTAAAAAATGTGTAAATACTTGTATATTTTTGAATAGCTATATAATTCTGATATGATATGCACTGAAATATTAATAGAGATGTAGTAATTTTTCCCTATTGTTTGTATATGATGGTACTTCCAAAATTCATAGAATGATTTGAATTATCTTTTAATTCTATTTTTCCCGTGAGCTTCTTGGGTACACTTGTGTTTCACTTCACTTACAGTGAGTATGGGTTATGCAAATAAAAACAGTATTTTTTTTTTAAGAAGTAGGAACATACAGGTAAAATTTAAAAACATTTAAGAAATAAAGTAAGGGTAATGGTGTTAAAAATTTTGTTACAACAAAATATACCTCATAAACATGTACAATGAAAAAATGTATTAACATGAAAAATTAGATAATGTATGCTAACCTTAAATAATCAGTATACAATAATGTATGTTCTTACCTGTTATGCAAAAATGGAAGCAAGTTCACCAGAATGTTACAGTTATGTCTCACTCATAGAACTAGGTATTATTTTTATTCCTATTTATATATATTTTTTAGTATTTAGTTTTCTTTTGCTGAGCAGGTATTAACTGCATCATTACATGATAAACATTTTGAGGAGGGCTTAACATATACTCAAAATATTTCTAACCACCAAGTTTTTACTTTTTTCCTCCATAGTTGGCCTATGTATGATGCTATCGTGTGATACATGGGTCTTTGTATTATTTAATAAGAGGAATCTGATTGCTATTGTACTTCGCAATAAAATATCAGAAAATGTATTTAAAAGAGAATTTATCAACAAAAGATCTTTACCGTACATTGTCTTGTTTACACTCTTTTGACATTATTCATGTGTGAAGCCTTTTAGGCCATAGGAATTATAAAAGTAAGTGTAAACTAATTCTTATTTATTCATTCAGTTAAATTACTATATTAATGAGATCTGTTTAGTTCATTTTTAATTGAAAAGTTTAGAAGAGTATAGTAGTAACATATCTTATGTATGTTTAAAGTGTTAGTGTCAGAGCCTACCTGGGTGCCTAGGTAGGAGCCAAAGACAAGTCCCCTCCACCTGGAAGTAGGCAAGAAGCAGAGCATGCTTGGAGACCTAGGCAGAAGCTGAGGGCAACCTCTTGCCCACCCAGAAGTAGGCAAGAGAGAACACCAAAAGCACCACTTCCACGTAGGTGGCCTGCCACAGCCACGACTGCCACAAAAGTGGCTTAATACCAAAGCAATAGCCACATCCACCATGCAGGTGGCCTGCTAGACACTCAACTGCATTGACGTGAGGAGAATCACCAGCGGAGACAAGAAAAAGGACCTCTCACTCCTCAAAGCCCACTCCCAAGTAACAGAAGAAGCAACTGCTCTACCAAAAGACCAGATATCAATGTAGAGACACTAGAAATATGAAAACCCAAGAAAATATGACACCACCAAAAGAATACAGTAATTCTTAAAAACCAGACCCTATAGCATGACTGAAACTAATTCTGAGCAAGTCTTAAGGGAACTCACCGAGATTTGAGAAGACTCAGACCATATAATGAAATGAGAAAAAAAATCCAAGATATGAAGGAGGAAATGTACAAAGAGATTAATGTAATGAAATGAGAAAAAAAATCCAAGATATGAAGGAGGAAATGTACAAAGAGATTAATGCCTTAAAAAAGAATGTAGTAGAACTCATGGAACTGAAAGATTTAGTCAACAAAATAAACACAACTGATAGCTTAAGCAGCTGGGTAGAACAAGCAGAAGAAAGAATTTTTGATTTTGAGGATAGTCTTTTTTAAATAACCCAGGAAAATGATAGAAAGGAAAAAAAGAATTTTTATTTATTTATTTTATTTTATTTTTATTTTTATTTTATTTTATTTTATTTTATTTATTTTATTTTATTTTATTTATTTTATTTTATTTTATTTTATTTTATTTTATTTTATTTATTTTATTTTATTATTATTTATTTTATTTTATTTTATTATTTTATTTTATTTTATTTTATTATATTATTTTTCCTTTTTGTCTTTTTTCGTGACCGGCAATGGATCGCAACCCTCAGTGTCGCGCCCGTACCGGACCGGGACCAGCAACGGGATCGCAACCCTCGGTGTTGCGCCCACACCTCGCTCAGCCAGTGAGCCGCCGGTCTGTACGTGGGATCTGAACCCTCGGTGGGAGCGCCACCGCGCTCCCAAGCGGCGCACTGTAGCAGTGCGCCACCAGGCTGGCCCGGAAAAAAGAATTTTTAAAAAATGAAGAAAATCTAAGGGAGCTAGTTGACAATCTTAAGCACAAAAACATTTGAATCATGGGTGTTGCAGAAAAGGAGGAGAAAAGCAAAGGTATGGAAAACCAATTCAACAAAATAATAATGGAAAACTTCCCAGGTATAGGGAGAGACACAGGCCTTCAAATACAGGAGGCTCAAAGATCACCAAAAAGATTGAACCCAAAAAGATCCTCTGCAGGACACATTATAGTTAAACTGGCAAAGTTCAAAGACAATCTTAAAAGAAACAGGAGAAAAGCATCAAGTCACCTATAAGGGAGCCCCTATCAGACTAACAGCAGTCTTCTCAACAGAAACTCTACAGGCCAGAAGAAAATAGGATGATATATTCAAAACACTAGAAGAAAAAACTTCCAGCCAAGAATAATATCCCCAGCAAGGCTATCCTTCAGAAATGAGGGAAAAATAGTGTATTTTCCAGACAAACAAAAGCTGCAGGAGTTCATCACCACATGACCAGCCCTGCATCTAATACTCAAGGAAATCCTGCCTCTGGATTTCTAAAAACAATAATCACTACTACGAATACACATGAAGGAACAAAACCCACTGGTAGAACAAAAATGCAAACAAGAAAGAGAAAGAAACCAAGTCTTAACTACCACGAAGAACCATAATGATAATGTAATAATGTCCCTGCTTTATTTCTGAGTTTAGTATTTTGGTCTTCTCTCTTTTTTTCTTGGTCAGTCTAGATATAGTTGTGCAAATTTTGTTGATCTTATTAAAGAATCATATTTTGGTTATGTTGATTTTTTTGTATTTATTAATATCCTTATATATTTCTGTTGTAATCTTTGATATTTCCTACTTATATTTGCTTTTGGTGTAGTTTGCTCTTTTTCTGTTTTCTTTTTTTTCCTTTTTGTCTTTTTTCATGACCGGCAACGGATCGCAACCCTCAGTGTCGTGCCTGTACCGTACCGGACTGGGACCGGCAACGGGATCGCAACCCTCGGTGTTGCGTCCGCACCTCGCTCAGCCAGTGAGCCGCCGGTCTGTATGTGGGATCCGAACCCTCAGCGGGAGCGCCGCTGCACTCTCAAGCGGCGCACTGTAGCAGTGTGCCACCGGGCCGGCCCCTTTTTCTGTTTTCTTAAGGTAGAAGTTCACATTACTGATTTGAGATTTTTCTTTTTTTTAATATAGGTTTTACAAGTGTAAGTTTTCCTCTAAGTCCTGCATCCTATAAATTTTGATAAGTTGCACTTTTTTATTTCAAAGTACTATGTAATTTCCCTGTGATTTTTCTTTTTACCCATTGTTTATTTAGGAAAGTGTTTAATTTCCACACATTTGTGAGTTTCCTAAATTTTCTTCTGTTATTGTGGTCAGTGAACAAATTTTCTATGATCTTAGTCTTTTTAATGTACTAAGACTTGTTTCCAAAATAAAATTTTAAAAAGTCAACTCTGTACTCCATAAATATGTATAATCAACACATTTCAATAAATAAACAAAAACAAAAGCATTAGTGTTGCCCCACAATAGTTAGGTATGATTTTCAAGTAGTTATTTACTTCTAAATATGAATTTTATTTCTTTGTAAGACAAATTACTTAATGTCAGGTCTTATCTCTGACTATGAAATAGATCATATGTGATTGGTTCATGTTGTTATCTCTAACTATAACAGAAAAATAAAAAGGTATTTACTTACTTGTTTCTTAAATTCATTCTTAGAAAAATTAGGTCTCTAATCTATTACTTTATACTTGAATTATTCTCTTTACTTTTGCAGTAAATTTTATATAAAGCGAAATATATGGTTCTTAATTCTACAATTCAATAAATTTTGATAAGTGTACACGTATTCATGTAAGCACCATGCCAGTCAAGATAGAGAACTCTTCCATCATCCCATAAAGTTCTCTTTGCCCATTTCCAGTAAATCCATCCCCTCCTCCCCTCAATGGCAACCCCCCTCCTGCTTTTTTCCCACCATAAATTTGCTTTGCCAAATTTATGCAAATATGCACTTATATAAAGTGGAATCTTACAATATATACTCTTTTGTGTTTGCCTTTTTCTGCTTAACTTACTGCTTTTGAAATTTATTTATGTGTTGTGTATATCCATAGTTCATTCTTTTTTAGTGGTAAGAGTATTCAGTTTTATGAATGTACTATTAATTGTTTACCTAGTCTTCTATTGATGTACTATTGTGAAACAAAAAAAAGAAACTGAATATTTTTCTGTAATTCTTTACGTGAATGGATGTTTTCATTTCTTTAAAGTAAATCATTAGTAGTGGAATTATTAGGACATAGCATAAATGTATATTTAACTTTATAAGAAATTGCCAAGGTATTTGACATCAGCTACATGGTGGAATAGGAAGCCCCAAATCTCATTCCCCCACAGAAATATCAACCTAACTACGGTAACATGGTCCAGAAAACCTTTAAGAGAACTCCAGAAACAAGTAGGAAGTCTCAGTACCCCAGGTAAGCTTGAAGCCAAGAGTAGCTGCATTTGAAATGCGTAAGAAAAGCCATTTTATTTCAGCTGTGTCAGCCCCTCCTTCATGCTGGCATAACTCATGATTAGGATGAAAAGCCTAACTTTCCACCTCTCTTTTGGGAGGGAAAGAGAAGAGTGGAATGTATGTCCAGTGTTCTGACTTTTCAAGAGACTTCGCAAAAGGCTAGTTTTGTCTTTTCTGACTTGGACTGATGATGAGGAACTGGCATACTTTGGATGTCTAGGGACAGTGGAGAACAAAAGAGACCTCAGTGTGTTGGAGTAGGGCCAGAGAAGTTGTAATACCACAGACAGAAGCTGACATAGCTCATCAATATTGGGATTAAGTGCCCAGCTTTTGACTTCTCCACTGGGAGGGAAAATGAATAGTGGAACATGTGTCTAAAATTTGGGATTTTAGGAGGGATTCCTGAGGTACTGGTTTCTGTCTTACTTGAATCAGAGCACTACTGATGAAATTGGCATACCTTGGGTGCCTGGAGCTGTAAAGGACAAAGGAGAGCCCTGTGGCTTGTTACATGTCAGAGAAATTCGAGTACTACAGGCAGACATCAAAGGGAGCAAGAGAGCATACATTCCTGAAAAAGTATAACTGAAAAATTAATTATGAAATTACACATAGAAACTCTGAGAAGATGCGACCCTGTACCAGGTTTGAGAGTTCCCTAGAGTTTGTAGGTCATCTGATTAGAGAAGGTCTTCTCCTGTATGAATCCATTCTATAATAAAGTCTAGGAGAGGTGGCTGTTTTTCAGATTCAAAAATCACACACAGAAAATAAGGCACATGAAGAAACAGTGGCACATGGCCCAAGTAAAGGCACCAAATGAATACATAGGAACTGACCCTAAAAAAAACAGAGATCTCTGAAATACCTGACAAAGAATTCAAAACAAACATCTCACAGAAGCTCAATGTACTACTAATGAACACAAATATACAAGTATATAATTCAGGAAGATGATACATTAACAAAAATAAGAGTATTAACAAAGAGAAACTATAAAAAAGAACCAAACAAATTCTGGAGGTGAAAAATAAAATAACAGAATCAAACAGTTCACTAGAAGAGGTTCACAGCAGACTTGATTAAGCAGAAGAAAGAATCAGTTTGAAGATAAGTCAATTGAAATTATCGAGACAAAGGAAAAACAAGAAAAAAAGAATAAAGGAAAGTTAAGAGAGCCTAAGCGACTTATGGAACAATACACAGGAAACCAATATATGCATTATAGGAAGCCCAGAATAAGAGAGAATGGACAGAGCTTATTTGAAGAAATAATTGCTGAATACTTCCCAAATCTGATGAAGAAAATGGACATCCAAATTCAAGAAGCTTAGAGAACTCCACCTAGGGTGAACTCAAAGGGGCCTAACAGAGACATATTACTGTCAAAAGTCAAAGTGAGAGAATCTTAAAAGCAGCAAGAAGAAAACAGCTAATCATTTATCAGGAGCACTCATGAAATTATTAGCAGATTTTTCAGCAGCAACATTACAGACCAGAAAGGAGTGAATTGATATATTCAAAGTGCTGAAAGTAAAAACAAAACAAAACAGCTGCCAAAGAATACTATATAGGGAAAACCCATCCTTTAAAAGTGATGGTGAAATAGGCATCTTCCCAGATAAGCAAAAGCTGAGGGAGTTCATCACTACTCGACCTGCCTTACAGGAATTGATGAAGGGAGTCAATCAATTTGAAATGAAAGGATGCTATACTGGAGCACAAAAGTAAGCAAAAATACAAAGCTCTGTAATAAAGGTAAATATATAGAAATACATAATCCAGTAATACTGTAGTGGTGGTGTATAAATCATTTAATTTATGTACAGAATTTAAAATATAAAAGCATGAAAGTTACAAATATCAAGCTATATTAATGGATATAAAATATTAAAAGATCTAATTTGTGACATGAATAACAAGGTGTGGGGATATAAAATTAATAGTGTTTTTATGTGTGATTGAAGTTACCAGTTTGAAATAGTTTGATATGTTTTATGTAAGCCCCATGGTAACCACAAAGAAAATACATCTAGAAGATTTTCAAAAGAAAATTAAAAAATCAATACATGTCACTAATACTATCAGTGAAACACAAAGGAAGGCAGGAAAAGAGGGAGAAAATAATGGTAAGAAATACAGAAAACAGTGAACAAAATAGCAGTAGTAAGTTCTTCCCTATCAGTAATTTTTTTTAAATGGAAATGGATTAAACTCAATCAGAAGACATACTGTGGCTGAATGGATTTTTTAAAAAGATTGAATTATAAGCTCTGTACAAGAGATTTACTTTAAATATAAGGTTATACAGTAGAAGGGTGGGAAAAGATATTTCATGCAAGTGGTAAGCAAGAAGAGCATGGGTGGACATACTTATATTGCAAAAAATGCATTTTAAGTAAACTGTTATAAGTGACAAATATGGATATCATATAATGATAAATTGGTCAGTTCATGAAGATATAACAACTGTACATATATGTGCACCTAACAATAGAGCACCCAAAATATATGAAGCAAACATTGATAGAATTGAATAGACAGTAAGCAGTAACACAGAACAGGAGGATTTAATTCCCTACCTTCAGTAGGAATACACCAAGCAGACAGAAGTTCCAGAATGAAACAGAGGACACACGAACAACACTGTAGTCCAGTTGGACCTAACAGACACATATAGAACATCCCATTGAACAACAGTAGAACCTATATTTTTCTCAACTGCGCATGAAACATTCTACAAGATAGATGACATGTTTAAGCCACAAAACACTCTTAACAAATTCAGAAATACTGAAATCATACCAAGTATCTTTTTCAACCACAATGGAATGAAAATTGAAGTCAATAGGAAAAGGAAAACTGGAAAATTTACAAATGTGTAGAAATTAAACAGCACACTCTTGATGAACTAGTGAGTCAAATAAGAAATCAGAACAGAAACTAGAAAATACCTTGAGACAAATGAAAACAAAAACAACTTTAAGGGTATAGGAAAAAAAGAAACTCAGTTTCTTCTTACAACATACAATTCTTCTGTGACCCCAGATGAGTGGGGTACTTCCTTATATACCAAGCTGGGTATACACACCAGCTGGGTGTACTCTAATTCTATGTAATCCTTACACTGTGTACCTAGAGATGGTGTGAGATTCCATAGGTTGAAGGCTTAGTCCAGCAAGACTGCCCCCCACTTCAGATGCCAGTTGCAAGTTTAGGCCTTTGGAACTTTTGAATGACTAGCTATAAATTGGGGTTTCCCTGCTCTGGTCCAATTAATTTGCTAGAGCAGCTCAGAAAACTCAGAGAAAAACTTACTTATGTTTACTTATTATAAAGGATACTACAAAGGATACCTGTGCGGGCCGGCCCGGTGGCGCACTGCTATAGTGCGCCGCTTGGGAAGCGCGGTGGCGCTCCTGCCAAGGGTTCAGATCCCACATACAGACCGGCCGCTCACTGGCTGAGCGAGGGGCGGGAGCAACACCGAGGGTTGCAATCCCGTGGCCGGTCCCGGTCCGGTACGGGCGCGACACTGAGGGTTGTGATCCGTTGCCGGTCATGAAAAAAGACAAAAAGGAAAAAAAAAAAAAGGATACCTGTGAACAGCCAGGTGGAAGAGATGCATAAGTTGTAGTGTGGGAGAAGTGGCATGCAGCTTCCACCCCCTTTCAGCGCTCACAACTCTGGAGGAAACTCCATGCATTCAGCTACCTGGAAGCTATGAGAACTTAGCCTTTGGGGTTTTATGGAAGCTACGCTATATAAGCATGATTGATTAAATCATTGGCCATTGGTTTTTCAACTCAGTCTTCTGCCTCTCTTCCCTTCCTGGAGCACAGGGATGGGGGTAAGGGTGGGACTGATAGTTCCTATCCTTTAATCACATGGTTGATTTCATTGGCAGCCATTCCCCCATCCTGAGACTATTTAGAGGTCTCCAGCCATCAGTAATATTATTTGCTTAAAAAGACACTCTTACCACTTCTTTGATCCAAAGTATTTTAGGATCCATATGTTAGGAAATGGGGACAGAGACTAAATATATATTTCACAGTATTACAGCAATGTACCAAAACTTAATGGGATGCAGCAAAAGCAGTACTAAGAGGGAAGTTTATAGCACTAAATGCTTACATTAGTGAGGAAAATCTCAGATCAACAACCTAATGTTACATCTTAAGGAACTAGTGAAAGAACAAAGCAAATCCAAAGTTGGTAGAAGGAAGGAAATAAAGATTAGAGCAGAAATGTTAGAGAATAAAGAGCAAAAGAAAGATTGGATTTTTGAAAAAATCAAAATAGGTTAAGTGGGGCAAAAAGAGAACAGACTCAAATAACAAAAATCAGAAATGAAATAGGTATTACAACTGATGTCATGGAAATAAAAAGGATGGAAAGAACTACTATGAACAATTATAGAATAATTATTAAAAAACTATGAATAAAAATATGCCAACAAGTTACACAAACTAGAAGAAATGGATAAATTTCTAGAAACATACAACCTGTCAAGACTGAATTGTGAAGACCTAAAAAATTTGAACAGAGCTATAATGAGTAAGATGATTGAATCAGTAATCAAAAACTTGCCAATAAAGAAGAAATCAGGACCAGCTGGCTTTACTGGACAATTCTAACAGATATGTAAAGGAGAATTAATACTAATTCTTCTTAAAATTTTCCAAAATATTGAAGAGGAAGGAATACTTCCAAATTCATTGTTCTTATAACACAGACAATAAAGAAAAGTACCGACCAAATATCCCCATTGAAACCTGACACAGAAATTCTCAGAAAATACGAGCAAACTGGATTCATTAATGCATTAAAAGGATTACACACCATGACTAAGTGGAATTTATTCCTGGAATGTAAGAATGGTTCGACATATGAATATCGGACATTGTAGTACACCACATTAATAAGCTGAAGGTCAAAAACTACATGATTGTCCCAACTGATGTGGAAAAAAAAAATCTCAACACATTAGGAACAGAAGGAAATTTCCTCAGCACAATAAAAGCTATATATGAAAAGTTTACTGCTAACATCATACTTAAGGGTGAAAAACTAGAAGATTTTCCGTTAAGGTCAGGGTCAGGGCAAGGATGTCTACTCTTGTAACTTCTATTCAAGATAATGCTGGATGTCTAGGCAGAGCAATCAGAAGATAAATAAAAGACATCCAGATAGAAGTTAAAAATTATCTTTTTGTTGATGACACGATCTTGATATAGAATACCCAAAAAATTCCATACACAAACAAAACTGATAATCAAATTCAGGAAATTTGCAGTATACAAAATCAACACACAAAAATCAGTTACATTTCTATATACTAGTAACAACAAACAAGGAAAGCATTAATTTTCTGGAAAGGAAATTAAGATAAGCATTCGTTTACAAGGGCATCAAAAAGAATAAAATACTTCCAAATTAACTAAACCAAGGGGGTAAAAGATTTGTACAATGAACACTACAAAATATTGTTCAAAGAAGCTAAAGACACAAATGAATGGAAACACATTCCATGTTCATGGATTGGAAGATTTAACATTGTGAAGACATTCACATTACCCAAAGTGATCTGCAGATTTAGTGTAATTCCTGTCAAAATCCCAGTGACTTTCTTTTGGTGGTGTTGCAGAAATAGAAAAAAACAATCCTAAAATTCATATGGTTTCTCAAAAGACCCCAAATAGCCAAATCACTTTTCAGAAAGAAAAATACTCTTCCTGATTTCAAAGCCTGTTAAAAAGCTGCTGTAATCAACACAGTATGGGACTGGTGTAGAGACAGACATATAGACACAGTGGAACAGAATAGAAAACCCAGAAATAAATTCTTTTATATGCTTATATTAGTTTATTTTCTGTTGCTTATAACATATGACCTAAAACTGTTGCTATGGGTTAAATGTTCTCCCAAAAGTTCATATATTGGAAACTTGACCACCATTGTAATAGTGTTGAGGGTGAGAAATCCAATTACAGTATTTGAAAGATGGAGCTTTTAAGAGGTGATTAGATTGTGAGGACTGTGCCCTCATGAATGGATTTATCCATTCATGGAATAGTGGGTGTGTTCTGATGGCTTTTTAAGGAGGGCAAGTGAGAAGGTTAGTGAACTCTCCTGCTCAGCCAGTTTTCACTATGTGACACTCTTGTTGCCAGGGGATCTTGTAGAGAGTTCCTACCCAGAAGAAAGCCTTCACTCGATTTGTCCCATGGACCTTGGACTTCCCATCCTCTGGTCTGTAAGAAATAAATTTCATTCTTTATAAATTACCCACTTTCATGTATTCAGTTATAAGCTACAGAAATGGACTAATATGCTGGGTAATTTATAAGAAAGTGAAATTTATTCTTACAGTTTCTAGACTGGTAAATTTGAGGTCCTGGGGGTGCCTCAGATGAGGGCCTTCTTTTTGGGAGGGACTATATACAGAGTTTCCAATACCTGAACTTTTGGAGGACACATTCAATTCATAGCATTCCACCCCTAGCCTTCAAAATTTATGTCCTCACCTGTAAATACATTCAGTCCACCCCCAAAGTCTTAACTTGTTTCAACTCAAAAATTCAAAGTCTTACCTGTGAAATAAAACAAGTTATCTACTGCCAAGATACAGTGGGGCAAATTCCCATTCAAAGGGAGAAATAAGCCAAAAGAAAGGCACAACTGGTTGTAAACTTATGTCTGAAACACAGCAGGTTATTTTATTCTTTCCTTTTTTATCTTCTTGAATTGGATGCTTAGTTTCCTATTTAAAATCTTCCTTGTTTCTTTTTTTTTTTTTTTGGTCTTTTTTTTTGTCTTTTAGCTTTTTTTTTCCGTGTCCGGCAACGGATCGCAACCCTCAGTGTTGCCCCCGTACCGGACCGGAGACCGGCAACGGGATTGCAAACCTCGGTGTTGCTCCCGCGCCTCGCTCAGCCAGTGAGCGGGAGCCGGTCTGTATGTGGGATCCGAACCCTCGGACGGGAGCGCCAGCCGCGCTTCCCAAGCGGCGCACTATCCAGTGCGCCACCGGGCCGGCCCATTAAATTTTAAAGCTGGAGAAAAATATACCGTGACTCCATATTCGGCATCCTCTGCACACAGATTTGGGGGTTGGACATCCATGTCTTTGGGCATCCCTGCTCCTATGGCTTTTCTGGGCTCAGGCCACACTCAGCTTTCCCAGGTTGTCATTGCATGCTGGTAGCTCTACAGTTCTGGCATCGTAGTAGCATTCCTGCTCCCTCGGCTCCACTAGGCATGGCCCTGGTGGGGATTTCGGCTGCAATTCTGATCCCACATTTCTGCTCGGCATTGTTCTAGTGCAGTTTCTTTGCAGTGACTTTGCCCCTGTGACAGAAATCTTCCTGTGCCCCCAGGCTTTTCCATACATACTTTGAGATCTGGGTTGAGACTGCCATGCCTCCATTGCTCTGTGAGCCTGCTGACCTAACACCATGAGGACATGCCAAATTTCTGGCTTATATTTTCCAAAGCAGCAGGTTCAGCCATAGCTGGGGCCAATTTAGGGGCAGCTGGGACAGCCAAGGAGTATGCTGTTATGTAGGGAACAGAATCCTGAGGCAGCCCTAGGCAGCAAGCCTGAAGAGGGCACCATGGGCTCAATCCCTGAAACCATGATGCCTTCCTATACCTCTGGGCCTGTTATGGGAAGGGCAGCCTTAACCATCTCTAAAATGCCTATGGGATCTTTCTTCCACTCTCTTGGTGATCCTTTCTCTGTGTACAGATCTTCTTAGTTGGTGGTCTCTGGGTTACATCCTTGGTTTTTTCTTTTGAACACAGTTTTTCACCCTCTTAATGGCCAGGCTGAGCGTTTTCCAGTTTTTTACCCTCTGCTTCCCTTTTAATTATAAATTTCAGCTTTCTGTCATGCCTTGCTGCTGTGATTCAGTGTTGGCTATTAGAAGTATCAATGTAGCTACCCGAATGCAGTGCTGCTTCCGTATTTCTTCTGCCAGATACCCTGCTTCATAACTCTTTTAAGTTCTGCATTCCATAAATTCATCTGGCATGGACACGATTCAGCTGAGTTCTTTGTCTGTTCATGGCTGTATTAGTCAGTTTCTGTTGCTTATAACAAGATAATTGGAACTGAGTAATTTATATTTAAAAAAAAAAAAAGAAATTTATTGCTTACAGCTTGTGAGGCTGTGAAGCTTAAAGTCCAGGGAACACATCTGGTAGTGGTGACAGTGTCCCAGGGGTCTCAGATTGCAAGATGGTAGAAGCAGACACAGCAGAGACTAACCTCCTTATTCTCTTACACTTTAGAGCCTTCCAAACTATGCCCATGATCACATTTTTAATCCATTCACTATAGCATTGTCCTGCAATCTAATCACCTCTTCAAGGCCCCACCTTTCAATTACCATAATAGGATTTTCCACCCTCCACAGTTACAGTGGGGATTAAGTTTTGGGGGGACATTCAAACCAAGGCAATAGCCATGGTGACTTTGTTTCCATTGTCCTGCAATCTAATCACCTCTTCAAGGCCCCACCTTTCAATTACCATAATAGGATTTTCCACCCTCCACAGTTACAGTGGGGATTAAGTTTTGGGGGGACATTCAAACCAAGGCAATAGCAATGGTGACTTTGTTTCCAATAAGCTCTTCTTCATTACAATCTGAGACCTCCTAAGAATGGCCTTTACTGTTTATATTTCTGTCAGCATTCTGGTCACCACCACTAACCTCTAAGAAGTAACTAGGCTTTTCCTAGTCCTCTTATCTTTTAAGCCCTAACCAGAATTTAGGCTTTCTCTAGCTTGGTCCAGATTCTTACAGCCTCCCCAGTTCCCAAACCACTTCTACTTTTTTAGGTTTTCATTGTTAGCAACACCCCACTTCATAGTACCAATTTTCTGTATTAGTCTGTTTTCTGTTGCTTATATCAGAAAACCTGAAATGGAGTGATTTGTAAACAAATGAAATTTATTTCTTACAGTGTTAGAGGCTGGGAAGTCCAAGGTCCAGGGAACTCATTTGGTGAGGGCCTTCTTCTTGGTGGTGACTCTCTATAGAAGCTGAAGATGTCACATGGTGAGAATGGCAAGAACAAGTTAGTTAGTGTGATAATTTGCCCTCCTTATAAACCCATTAGAAGCTCACCAAATCATTAATCCATTACTCCTTGAGTGGATCAGTCCATTTACAAGGGTACAGCCCTTCATGATCCAATCACCTCTTAAAGGCCCCAACTTTTAAATACCATTATCTGATTTCCCATCCTCTTGAAACTGTTACAGTGGGGGTCCAGTTTCTGATACATGAACTTTTATGGAACATGACCCTTACCTTATGCCACATACAAAAATTAACTCAAAATGTATTAAAGAACTAAACAGAAGACCTGAAACTATAAAACTCCCAGAAGAAAACATAGGGGAAAAGCTTCATGGATTTGTCTGTGATTTCTTGGATATGACACCAAAAGCTCAGGCAACAACTGCAAAAATAGATAGTAGGAGTAAATCAAACTAAAAAGCTGCCCAGCAAAGGAAACAATCACCAGAATGAAAAGGCAACCTAAAGAGTTGGGAGAAAATATTTGGAAAGTACATATCCAATTAGGTGTTAATATCCAGCATATATAAAGAACTCCTACAACTCAACAACAGCAATAAAACCAGTGCAATTTAAAAATAGGCAAAGGATTTGAATAGACATTTCTCCAAAGAAGTTCTGTAAATGGCCAACAATTATATGAAAAGATGCCCACCATCCCTAATCATTATGGAAATACAAATCAACACCACAATGAGTTATTACCTTACAACTATTTGGCCAGTATGAAAAAAGACCAGAAAATAGTTAAGTGTTGGTGAGGCTGTGGAGAAATTGGAACTCTTATGCACTATTAGTGGGAATGTAAAATGGTGTGGCTGTTGTGGAAGACAGTTTGGAGGTTCCTCTGAAAATTAAAAAAAGAATTACCATATGACATGACCCGACAATCTCACTTGTAGACATATATACAAAAGAAGTGGAAACGGAATCTCTGAGGAGTATTTGCATACCCGTGTTGATTGCAGTATTATGCACAATAGCCAAGATGTGGAAGTACCCTAAGTGTCTGTCAGGAGATGAGTTCATAAAGTAAATGTGGTGCATACATATAAAAGGACATTATTTAGCCTTAAAAAATAAGGAAATCCTGTATATGCTATAACATGATGAATCTTGAGGATTTTATGCTAAGTGAATGAAGTCTGTCACAAAAAGACAAATTTTATACAATTCAATTTGTTCGATGTACCTAAGGTAGTCAAACTCTTAGAAACAGTAAACTGTGTTGCCAAGGTCTGATGAAATGGCAAAAGGAATTTTTTGTTCATTGGATATACGACTTTTGTTTTCTCATGATAAAAAATGTTCCAGAGATCTATTAAGCAACATTCTTATAGTTTACACTACTGTGCTGTACTCTTAAAAATGTTTAAGATAGTGAAGTTTTCTTATGTATTTTTGACCACAATTTAAAAAAAAAAGAAAGAAATTACCAAGTATTTTTCCAAAGTTGTTTTAATTTTTTTTTTTCGTTAAATTTTTATTTTGTCAATATACAATGTATATGATTACTATGGCCCATCTCCGACACCGCCCTCCCTCCTCCCTCTCTCCCCTCCCCCCCCAAGAAT